TATAGAAACTTATAAAAAAAATAATTATGATATATTTTTATACTTTTAAAAGTTATATATAAAATTTTTAATATTATAAATATATGAATAAGTATTGCTCCTATTATTTAAAATTTTTGAATCTGTCACTCTATATATATATATTAAAGTTAATGAGTATTATAGTTGGATGTATTCAGAAAACGGTTACGAGTGAGGCAGTAAAACGATCAGATTTGGATGTAATATATATACACACGTGTCCATCCTATATATATGTAATATATCAGCTAGCATTACCTTCACTAAATTGGAGCAAGTTAAAGCAAGATATAAGCGAGAATGGATGCTCGTAAAGAAGAGGAACAACACAACCGTCAACAAAGGTACGTAACGGTGTATCTATATTCTTTCAGTTTTAGTTATTAATATATCTTCTTTGATTTATTCTTCTCTCTTTACTTTCTATAATTATCGTCGTCTTTCCACTCTATATTTATGATTTTTTGGTGTATTTTCTTTAAATTCATTATTTCTTGATGTATTCTCTTCATAGAAAGGAAACTTAATTTAATAATTACTATGCATGTAGGGAACAAAACACGTCTCTCCAGAATACAGAGGTTTCAGAACATTTGGTAACCATGCAAAATGTGTTAGAAAATTTGACAACTATCCAACAACAGAATGCATTAGATCGATCTTTATCTATGACGGTCTTGTTCAATATTTTAGAAAAAATCTTATTTAGTTTGTTTTCTTTTGTCCTTCCTTTTTTTTATTCTTTTTTCTTTTCTAGTTATTTTCATTTATTGAGTTTCTTTCAATATGTTCTTTTGACTTTTGTTTATGGTTAACCTGACAAGATATATAATAATACTGATTTTCTATTTCTCTTTTTGTAAAAATGAATTTTTTAATTCTTTCATTTCCTATATATGCAATTGTTAATTTAGTTTCCTGCTGTTGTTTAAATTTGGAAAAACAATGAAGAATCCATACATATATATATTCATTTTTTTTTAAATTTAAATAACGACAGGAAACTAACGGACAATTACACATATAGGAAATAAAAGTCATTTTTGTAACTGGCAATTGCACATATAGGAAATAAAAGTCATTTTCACAAAAAGAGAAATAGAAAATCAGTATTATTATATATTATGTTAGATTGACCATAAACAAAAGTCAAAAGAACATATTGAAAGAAGCTTAATAAATGAAAAGAACTAGAAAAGAAAAAAGAATAAAAGAAAAAGAAAAACAAAACAAACTAGATAAGAATTTTTCTAAAATATTGAAAGAGACCATCATAGATAAAGATCGATATAGTGGATTATGTTATTGTTCGATAGTTGTCAAATTTTCTGAAATATTTTGCATGGTTATCAAATGTTCTGGAACGTCTATGTTCTCGAGAGACATGTTTGGTTACCTACATGCATAATTACCATTAAATTGAATTTCCCTTTTAAGAAAGAAAAATTCACCAAGAAACAATGAATTTAAAAAAAAATACACCAAGAAACAATGAATTAAAAAAACACCAATAAACAATAAATTTATCATTGTTACCTTTGTCAGATGAGTTGTCATCTCTAATTTCATCATCTTGTTGAACATTGATATGATTATCGTCACATAAGTTTGTTGCAAAATCAACATTTGAATCAAGATGATTTGTTTGTGGCGAAATTCTTTGGTGAAATTGTTGGTCACTACTCATTACATTTGACTGTGTCAAAATTGGAGGTTCATGTGCTTCTTTTGTTTTAGTTAATTCTTGTAAAGAAAAAGAAGATGTGCCATCAATATCAATGTCAATCACTACAAGAATGCAAGAAAGTAGCGTTGGCCATGGAGCAGACGCATATAACGTCGGTTAAGGTAACTCTAGACAGACAATAAACAACAATCATATAATTTTTTTGTATTATTTTATTAATTATTTTATTTACATTGGTCAAATCAGATGCTAAATAATAAATATTATTTTAATATATATTATAATAGATGTTAGTGTCAGTTTAGCTAACACTATATATTTTTAAAAATTTATAATTATGGACGAAACCCATTACTCAATCGGTTTGTTTTATAAAAAATAATATATTAAATATTAGTGTCTATTTAGCTTACACAAAGAATTGAAATTTAATTAATAAAACTAATCATACAAATAAAGAAACCCGAAATTCACTAAAATCGTCCAAGTCAAAACTATTCACACATTAAACATGAACCCAGTGCCTCATGCCCCCTTCTGCATACATCTACCCTAACTTATCAATTCTCCCCTTCCCGAAAGCAAAACATGAACCCTGAGTCCTAGTATGGCTCATGCCCCTTCTGTATTCACTATCAATGAACCCTAGCTTGTCAAAGTTTTCCTTCCCAATAGAAAAATATGAACCCTAAGTCCTAATGTGGCTGACGCCCCCTTTTTCTTGTACTTCCATTGAACCCTAACTGTTGAGATTTTCGTTGAAACACTTTTGTTATAATTATAAATCAGTTAAATTCGATCAAAGGTCTTAAACACGGCAAGTGTACCGGCCGTTCAAGTAGTAAAAATATCGTATCTACATGGATTAAAAGGTAACATAAGCATTTATTGACTATTCGTGACTAAAGAATGATTCCAAATTGTAGTTTGTCATGTGAATGTGGAATTAAGATCATGACTACTGGAAAATTAAACTATAAAAATATTTGTTTGTGAGTGGAAAGGATAGAAATGGTATTATGGTTTTGTAAGATTGTGGGGTCAGATTTCACCAAACGTTAAACTAATGAATCCTTACTCTCTTGTTAAATCCATTGCTTAGTCAACCCAATAGTTACTCAAACCTAATCCCTTAGAGCAAGAGCCTAGGTGCGAATATTGAATATCAATTCCTTGAGTATCCAATATCTACACCCGCATTACGGGCTAGGGTTTAAGACTACTAATGGGCCAAGCTCCATTCCTAGATACATTTCCCACTAGGCATTTGTTTCAGAGCTAATTTCAAAGGTTATTTTCCAATACCCAATGGAACCTATATCATGCAAGGAGATTCAATCCAAAGCAAGCATTAAGAATAGAAACATACACAACAATGAATGAAACAACATGTATATATCATTAAAAACGTAAAGATTACAATAGAGTACGTTGGTTACATCTAACCCCACAAAAAATGGGTAGAACCACTCAAAATGAGGGTAAATACAAAATAGAGATGAAAGGAGAAATGAAGAACCGAAGGAAAGACCCACACACGAACGACTCTAAGCTCCGGGAATCCCTTCCATAGCTCCCAAAACGCGCCCAATGTGTGAATGAGGGTTTCTCCCTCGAAAATGGCTTCAAATACACACTTGGGAAGATCAGATTAGGGTTTCGCGCCCGGCGCGTAAGTCTTCGCGCCCGGCACAAGGTCTTTCAAAGACTCTCTGCCTTAGGATACACACCCGGCGCAATTCATTTTACGCCCGGCGTGATGGCTTCTAGAGGTGAGAAACTCTGTTTCGCTCGCCTGACGCGGGTCATCTTGCGCCCGGCGCGGTCACTCTTCTCTGCTCCTTAGCTTCTTGGATTTCCAATCCAAAGGATCTTCAACTTTCCACTCTTCACTCAATACCTGCACAAAAATTGGGGTGGATTAAGGTATTGTTAGATGAATTTGGGTTAGTTATATCTGCACACAAAATGAACCAAAAAGAGAACAATTATGTTACAATGGTTCAGAGGATGAGTGGAATTGTTCAATAAGTCTCGTTCAAAAAGAGGTAAAATTGAGACTCAACAACTCCCCCAAACTTAGAACCTTGCTTGTCCTCAAGCAAAAGGTAATTAATCTAGCAGATAACAAGCGATGCAAGTGTGTCAAATTCTACATTGTAGTTCACTTGTATTTTTCTTTCGCAAGCATGAACCTTAGATGGACTTCCAGTCAAAATTATTGCAATAGAACATGACAAGGTGCAAACAAAGGTTTCAAAAGAGATCAAAGAGCTGAGAAGAGTAATGACTAACTACTAAAAAGATGATATTCTACATCGCTATATCTACATCGGTTGTAATAAAACCGATGTAAATTTAAAACGCGGTGGCAATCTCGTAAATAAATAGAAAATATAGACATATTTACATCGGTTGGATAAAAAACCGATGTAAATATTAACAATTCTACATCGGGTTTGCTTTTGACCGATGTAGAACTCAAACCCTAATACACCCTCTCGCGCAAACATCCAGAATACCCTTTCAACATAGGGTTCCCAGCCCGCCGCGAGCAACCACGGATCTTCCTCTCCGCAACGCCCCCTTTCGAAGCCCCCTCCGCCCTCCTCCCTCCCTTCCGAGGGCCTCCACTTGGGACTTCCTCATCTTCTTCGACAACACTAACGACAAGTTCTACCCCCACACCCATTTCGCCGCCACTCCCAGCCGCCACTCCAAGGAGGTCAGAGAGGAGGAGGGGATCCCCGATTTGGAAGACGAGGACTACAACAACGAAGTGGCATCATCACCATGTCCGTCAATCTCATCCATTCTTCTATTCTTCCCTTTTCTCTTCCCTAACCTAACACCTCTCTTTCCTCTTATTCTAGGGAAGTGAAATCCTCTTCTCGCAAAATCTCACCTCCACAATAGGTATTCTCGATTTCATGTTTATCAAATCAATTGCACCTCAAATTATATTATGTCCACTTGCCAATCACCTAACACGAGGGATGATAGTGTATAACGAAATGCAGGTCATGAATTTATGGAATTTGCAGCAGGACCGTCTATGCAGATGCAAATCACTGTATACTGAGTTATAATAGAATCTGTTCAATTGAAATAATTATATTAACAAGATTGCATATTCTATTTTGCTCTGCTTTTTTGTTCTTTTTCATGCCTGAATTTTTAATTTATGTCTTTCATTTGCATCTTCCCCTTCAAAGTTATTTATAATTTGTGTTATGAATATGATATGCAGATGGCTAGAGAGATGGATGACATCTTAAGGCAGTAGATTGCACAGCCAGCTAATAGTTGCACTTATGATTCTAAGGGTGGTGTCTCATTTCTTGATAACGTTATCTTTCCTCTCTATGATATTGTTTCTGCAGTAAGTTCCACATGTGTTTTATGAATATTTTATTAAACTTTATTTCATAGAAAGGTGAAATAAGCTCATATATCAAAAGTAGATGATGATCACAATCTTAGGTTGTGGGTTGTGGGTTGTGTTCATGAGACAAACATATTCTGTCTTATTGGATGGTGTCTCATGAGAAAATCTTACTTTTTTAAAGAAAAATAACAACTCCAAGAAATGAATATACAAATTTGAAATAAATGACGAGTCTTGGAGTGTGATTGGATTGTGTGTTCCCTGTTTTCCTGTTAATATGAGAAAACGGGCTTGAAATCGTATTTGATTGGGTAATGAGTTTCTGGACAACATTACACAGGAAACAAAAGTTAAAAATGGCAGCAATTTTTTATCTATACTTATTATAAAGGGGATATATTTTGGTAACCACCCCTTTGATTTATGAACTTAATGAAATGTTCTTTGGTTTATGAACTTAATGAAGTAACCATCCCCCACTGCCTGCCAGAAAATGTTCTTTAAGAAGGAATAAATATACATAAAATCATTGTGTTATGTAGTGAAATCTTTCAGTTTGTCTGACAAAATAAGTTGATTCTTTTCAACTCATTGATTTGCAAAAAACATTACCATGGCAGTGCTGTTCTGCAATGAAATATGTGAATATGCATGGCCATTTATTTTGGTCATTTGATTAGAAATCGTGAAAATATCCCGTTATTTTTACATTTATTTTGGCCATTTATTTTGGTCATTTGATTAGAAATCGTGAAAACATTACCTTTATTTTCAACTCATTTAATGATTATTTTATACTATGGTGGATCAATTTGATGTCCTGTATATCTTTTGGACTGGTTTGAGCCTTTACTCTCTTTCTCTCTCTTGGGTTTCTGTTCAGTGATTTTTATGAATTTACCTCTGCAGTTCATGTTGTTTAAAAGCTTAAATGCATTTATTTGTGACTTGAGTTTATCTTTATTCTTTTGGTTTAAAAATATGGATTCATCATGTATTTTCATGGACTATTAGGAAGCAGCAAACAATGATAATGGGAAAGCACCTCATTCCTCCTGGAGAAATTATGACGATTTTAATGAGTATTTCTGGTAAGGTTTCTTTGATGACCCGTTTTTTGATTATTTCAGTTGATTGTTTTTATTTTTTATTTTTTATTTTTTTAAATTTTGTTGACTGACTCTCGCACCTTAAGGTCACTCCATTGCTTTGAGCTTGGTTGGCCATGGGGCAAAACTTCTTCATTTTTCCAAAAGCCACTACCCAGATCAAAATTATAGTAATAATAATATATTTAACAGAATAGTTATAAACAAAAAAAATTTAACAGAATAATTACTGTTGGATAGAAATCCCAAAATTTATGGGATATTATTATGTTGCAGAATTTTAGGTATTAGGATCTATGATTTATTCTTTATTATTGTTACTGATTTATAGGGATTCCTATTTAATTATAGGAATTGTCTATTATTTGTTTCCTTTTTTTTATTTCCCTGTTTTGCCTATTTATGAACTTAATGAAATGGAAACTTACCTCAAAATTAAAAGTTAATCGATAACTAGAGATTTATTTAGAAGTTTCCTAATTAAGGAAATAAGGAAATAAAAAACTGTACAAATTAGCTATAATTAAGGAAATAAAAAGTGTAATAATCAGCTTTAATTAAAAATTCCTCAAAATACATTTATATAGACTACTAGTCTCCTAATTAAGGAAATAAGGAAATAAAAAACTGTACAAATCAAATCATCCAAATCTGTCCTAATTACGGAACAAATTTCCTAATTATTATAGAACAAATGTGCACCCTATTTTTAAGATTTTTGAAGAGTATGAATCTGGACCAATTTTTGAAAACATCCTGTTTTGAGATGAAATGGGAACTAATTTTGACACATCAATGGTGTTTATAAAAATTTGAGAAAAATCACATGATTTCCTTGATGAGATGAGATTGCCCTCGTTTAGTTTTAGCTCAATATGTTGACTTTCCTATTTTTAAGATTTCTCTCATTCAATACAGTTATTTAAGATTTCTCTCATTCAATACAGTTATTTGGGAATAAAATGGAATTCAAAGTTATAGCTTTATTAGAGTAGTTATTGTATCTGATAACCTCTAATTGAGGGAATTGGAACTCAACAATTAGATTTTGAAATTATACTATGAATGAAATATGTTTATACAGGTAACTCAGAAAGAATCTAAAAAAATAATTGATTTTTTTTTTAAAATGGAATCTACATCGGTTAAAGGTAGAACCGATGTAGATTTGCGTTTAAATCTACATCGGTTTTGTTTACAACCGATGTAGATTTGAACGCAAATCTGCATCGGTTTTCTCACAACCGATGTAGATTTAAAAGCAAATCTACATCGCTCTATTCTACATCGGTTATAAAACCGATGTAGATTACCTTCCAGAACCGATGTAAAACAGTGCTTTTGTAGTAGTGCTTCCACTAGGACTCGACTAGTTTACTTGCTTTCATAGAATGTTTAGTACTTGTGGAAGTGGTCTAAAGGGCTCTAAGTGTCACATGGACTTCTACCCTAGGAAATTCGACTAGTATATGCTTTACTTGCTTTCTTAATTGCTTTCATTCGTTAATTTACTTTCTAATTATAATTATGAATGCTCCAAGTTTGTTTAGAAGGCTTCCTTGCCTACTAGGGGTTTCGTGCACACCACACACATTTATTTGACTTGCCTTGCGTGAAAAATTGTTTTGTAAGACAAGTATAAGGGGGTTTAGTAATTTCTACTTTAAAAGGCTTGGTTATTAAGTGGCTCCTTCTAGCTCACCTCTCTTGATAGTGCAACTTGTATACTTAGACCTCCAAGTACTAAGTCTTACACCAAAAAGAGAAAACTTTTTGAAAACTTTTATCACTCAATTTTGCAATTCAATTAGAAAATTTTTTGAAAATCTTTCTCCGCAAAAATTAGTAATCATTCTCATGATATAGTGTGCATGGTCACCATACTCCTAGAAGTCATAGGAGTACTAATGATGAACTTAGGGAGCTTAGAGATTATATTAGGAAAAATAAATATAAAATGAAAAAGCAATGAGACAATTAGAGAGTTGTTAAGAAAACTTGTGGTGGGTAGTGGAAAGGCTTGGTTATTAAGTGGCTCCTTCTAGCTCACCTCCCTTGATAGTGTAACTTGTATACTTAGACCTCCAAGTACTAAGTCTTGCACCAAAAAGAGAAAACCTTTTGAAAACTTTTATCACTCAGTTTTGCAATTCAATTAGAAAAAATTTTTAAAATCTTTCTCCGCAAAAATTAGTGATCATTCTCATGATAGTAGTGTGCATGGTCATCATACTCCTAGAAGTCATAGGAGTACTAAAGATGAAATTAGGGAACTTAGAGATTATATTATGAAAAAAGAAATAGAGAATGAAAAAGCAATAAGACAATTAAAGAGTTGTTAAGCAAACTTGTGGTGGGTGGTGAATCTAGTAAGCCCAAAGTTTATGAAGACAATGGGCCTTCTAGGCCCAAGAGACAAGATGGTGAAGGGCCTTCTAAGCCTTTTAGAGGCAAACATTTTGAAGAGCATTCACGGCCCAAGAGCCGATATTCACACACTCACTCAACTCCAAGTGAAGGGTTCTATAATAGTCACCATGATGATGGCTACTATCAAAGACCCCCTAGGCAACATAGAGCACATCGATTTTCTTTTTTTATGGATTACCGGAGGAATATGACCCTCTTGAAACCTCGTGTCTAACAAGGAGAAAACCCTATACGGTTCCTGAGATCGAAGCTCTCTTGTTTCATCAAGAAGAGAGGCTTGAACGCCGCAAACAGAAAGAATCTGAATTGATTCAGGCAAATCTTACCCAAAACCTTAGAATGCCAAAAAGGGGAGGATCAAACTCTACCAGAGGAAGAGGTTTTGGTTGCAGAAAAAATCAAGGAAGGGGCCGTTTTGCAAAAAAAAAGGTACAAAAATGGAGGATGAGGTCCCAAGATTCAGTGCCAATTGTGCGACAAGAATGTACATTCAAATTTTCACTACTGGAGATGATTTGATGAGAATCTTTCTGATCCAGGCACGCAACAAAACACAACAACGAATCACAACACTGTAGAGAGTCAACAAGAAGCTATGTTGGCCTCTTCTCTTCATGCTCAAGCAGATGACATGTGGTACCTGGATTCAGGAGCATCCAAACACCTCACAAATGACATTTCTAACCTGAGTACAAAGCAGGAGTACCAAGGTAAGCAACGTGTTCTTGTAGGTGATGGTAATAGCCTTTTCATTTCTCATATAGGACATTCTAAATTGCATACTACTCAATCAAATATTACTTTCTCATAGCCTAACATCATGTATGTTCCTAACATATCAAAGAATTTCCTCAGTATATCTAAATTCACTAATGATAACGAAGTATTTGTAGAATTTCATCCTACTGAATGCATTGTAAAATCTCACGAAACAAAGATAGTGCTTCTCAAAGGGCATCTTAAAGATGGATTATATGTCTTTGATAATCTTCTGCCCATCCACACACACACAAAATTTGTACAACCATTGGGCGCTGTCACTGGTCTTTATAATACTGTATCTTGTAATGATGTGCCAATATGGCATTCTAGGCTAGCACATTGTTCTTTTAAAGTACTAAAACGTGTAATGACGTCTTGTAATATTGTTGTTGCTGAGAATAAAATGTCATTTGTTTTCTCATCCTGCTTTATTGGTAAATCTCATAAATTACCTTTTTCCATTTCTAAAATTGTTTCATCAAGTTTGTATTTTAATTTGAATGTCCACTTTGATCCTATTGCTTTTCGATGTGGTGGTAGAGGGACTAAGTCCCATGTTTGATTCCTGGTTAGAGCAAGGTATTCTTCTTTCAGAGCATTGAACCATTTTGAATCTTGTAAAGCTAAAGTAATAGTACTAGGTTCTGTTTCAGCAATGAGGACTCTAGGTTTGAATATACCAGACTTGGACCTAGTTATCATATTATGCATGTTTTCAATTATATGAGGATCTATACTATGAGATATGTTATGATGAGAAGTAGGACCACTTGCTACCTGATTGTTATTGGTATTTTAAAGTATGGGATTTTGATTTTCATCCGTAACAATTGTGTCATTACCATGATGTGGAACACTATGTACAATAGGTATAGTTGGGTAAGAGGTATTCACAGGGTTAAGAGTAGCATGTGTCTCTTTGAAAAAATTCTTTTCTTTCGAAGGAAAAGTTTTTTCATCAAACACCACATGTCTAGAGACATAAATCTTTCCAGATGATGTCATGCACTTATAACCCTTATGAATTGTACTATACCCTAAAAAGATACACAATTAAGATTTTGGATCCAGGGCAAATCTGGGTTAAGCAGTAGCAATTTCATGGTTTTTTTTTTCAAGGATTGAAGGTGCTATAGCTTAAGAGAGAAATTGAGATTTTACAATGATGTCCCTCTCCATACCCCAATATAACATTTTGGCACATGCCCTTTTCCGGATGCATGCCATTAGCCTTTATGAGATGCATATTTACACTTTTGCATCTTAATATTTTTTCTTTTGTTTTGTTTTGTTTTGTTTTGTTTTTTTATTTTTTTTGTTTTTTTTATATGGCTGACCACATATTTTCTTCTTCCCAAATTCCTCATTCTTCAACTCCCCCAAACTTATTTGATGTAATCAATTTGCTCTCTTAACCAAAGCAAAGGTTATGGTTAATTTTTCATGGTTTGGGATAATTGGAAGGTGTAGTGTTTAGGCTTAGGAAGGTATGGGTCAAATGAAAGTGGAGATGGCTTTTTGGCTTAGATGGTTAACAAAATAAGGAAATATGAATGTCTTGATCATATAAGTACATAACATAAGCAAACCACCAGGGAAACTCAAGCAAAGTCTATCATGCAACTTAAGCGTAGTTCACTCATCAGTATTTGGGCTCAAACCTCACCCGGCTATGCATCCACAGATTATCAAACTCAACTCAGTCCTATGATCAACATTGAAACTCGTATGCAACTAGTCATGAACTAAAGATCTAACGTGACTTAAAAATGTCTAAGGTACACACACCATAAACATCAAGCAAACCACAATCCGGAGTCAACCACAAGCAAAACAAGTATCAACAAGATTAAAAACCGTGCTAAAGCAGAATATCCACAAAAAAAGACCAACAGTGTAATCACCAAAATGAAGCTAGATATAAAAAT